ACGGCAGCAGAAAGCGCGGTCGTTGTTATTCCGGGCCCCGACCGATCCGGCATGATATTTTGTGATTTATTTGAAATCATAGGATAGGATTGGGTAACTGCTTTTAGTCTAACTGCTATCCAAACAACCTTTCTGGCATGGTAGGACCTGCAGGAACATAAGTTCCAGCCAGTATAGCTTGTTGGGTCATTGCAGTGTTCAAGCCCGACCACCACGTCAAGGTAGCAGCATTCGGTCGGGGTACGTCATTTCACTAACAGACGTGCTGTTATCTATATTGACTTTATTGTATCGTACTGTCTCCGTGGATATTCACACAGTAAATGGGCATGCAGACATCTCTACATGAAGTTAACTCCATGTGAAACAAATTTTCTTGCTTGTAATCTGACACCAAATGTTAAATAACTCAGGGTTGGTGGGAACGGTAGCTAACTTTATCGACTTAATTGACTATATATATAAACTGATTGTGTATTCTCGATGAAGCCTAACTACAAGATGGTACAGAATTAGGTGAGTGAAGGTAAAAGCAGCAACGCGGATGAAATATATTCACTGTCACCACATACCCACCAACCACAATAAAATATGCCAACATAGATGTCGAAAATCAGACCTCTGGTTTCTTAACTGCCTTCAGCTTTGCCCCAGAAATTATTGAAGTTATTTATTCATGCATGGTGACAATATGCTGATGAGGTCTCAGCATGGATACAAAAGCTTCATGTGACATTTATCAGCTCATGTTATCTCTGGTGTAGACGTGATATCGCGATATCGATCAAAGGATGTGTATACTGTACATCAGTTTGCTCTATCCTTCTTAATGGCTGTGAGACATGACTGTTGAGAGTGAAAAATTTAAAGGGGGCTATCTTTCTTTGACCACACATGTTTGCGTTCTATGTCCCGTGTTAAATAGTCTAATATAGTGAGTAATATTGAGGTTGGAAGTAAAGTGTTAGGTAAGGAAGGGAAGTTAGTCTATGGAGCTATGAAACTGCATCTATCTATTCTCGACCTGACTGTTTTTACTTGGGTTCAGCTAAATTATTTAACCCTTAAGTAACGTGTTAATTTCACATCTCTAGTCAATACATATATTTATATATATGCTTTACAACACCTTTTACTCTTTTCTTTATACCACTTAATTGCGTAATATTACTGACCGAAATTTTCAGGCCCCATAAGCAATGTATGTGAATATCTTGTATGTTGATATTAAAATTGTTTTTAGTTGTAAACAGCTGAAAAATAACCAACGGAATATTATTATCCTGCTCAATTTGTTCTCCTTGCTTTATACAATTTTATTTGGTGGATATATTTCCGAATTGAATAGTTTTATACACAGTATAGCATCTTGGAAGATGTTATCCGGTGTGTATAATACTATCTCACTGTGTATTGTACTTCAACAGATAAACTATCATAGATAACACTTATGACTATTATTGGTGTCAAAGTCCCACATCTGTATTGATTATAACAATGATTATTCTATTTTAAGCGATAAACTGAATTCAAAGTTCACCGGTTCACACATTTAGGTTTTTAATTCAGATTTGTATTTATCAGTAAGGCTATTTACTTTTCGTCTTGTGTTTTTTTCCTTTATTGCTCCCGGTCTCTAGTGTGTTGTGTATCTGTCATTTTCATAATATTTTAATATGTACTTTTGTGAAAATGTAGAGACGCTTGATTCTCGTCACTAGGATTTAATTATATTTAAGTATTATTATTATTATTCCTTTTGGTTCCGAGTAGAACACAGATCTTCAGCAAAACATCTCCATTTCACTCTGTTCCTCACAGTCTTCTTAAGCTGACTACACGATTGCTCATAAGTCGGCGTTTCTCGTCCTCCATGTCAGCCTCCGATGTTCAAGTCTTACGCGAGGGTTTGCCCTTCAAGTGATATCACTCAACAGTCTCCTTAGGGTGTATCCATTCCATCTGTATTCCCTTCTGTATGTTTGTTGGGTGATAGGTTGCTTGTTGTTTCCCTGCCAAAGTCGTTTGTGTTGCGTATCCTTTCTGGTCAGCCATATGATTTTCAGAATGAAGCGAAGTCAGTTGTTGATGGAAATCTGCAGCCTGTTTGGATTATATTCACATATTAATATTGATATTACTTATTTACATAATTATATAACTTTTGTTTGAATAAACAGATATATTCTATCAACACAAAGGTCACATAACTTTGCCTACTTCATTATATTGGTTTCTTATACGTTGCTAAATAAACAGATGCATTAATAGTAACAAACATGATGAATAGTTACACAGTTATGAACCAATAGGATCACCACAAAGTGTGGTGAGAGCTGGCTGCTAGCCAAATTGGTAGACAGTAATTTACGTCAATGTTTACGTCCTCAATATTGGTCGTGAGAAAAATATGAACAAAGACTGATTCAACAACCAATCACAGCAGACTTTGCGTAGGCGGATACAGTTAACATATAGATGATCTGACATTCAAGAAACAGCCACAAAGAGATGAAAGATTAACTTTCAGTGAGAAACAACCAATCAGAAGACTGTGTTTGCCTGCTAACACTAATCTATAATAATGTACATGAAAAGCTATAAATATGTGTTGATTTCCTTAATAAACGATCTGTTACCTGGCCCTTGTCTTCTGTTGTTACAAAAGAATGACTCAGTAGTTTTTTATTCTGATAGTCTGCATTTTCATGGGTGAACATAAAAATAACACAAAAACACTGACCTTTCAAATACTGTCTGATAGATTATATTACAGTGCAATCTTAGATGAAGGTGTTTTTCGAACTTTTACTTAACCTGACCCCATAATATTCGACGAAGGACAAACGGCAGTGTTATATATATATATATAAAGCAGTCAGTGGCGTCCGGTAGAAAACATAGTTCTCATGCATTTTGGTAATAATGAGTGAAACATATCTGAAACTCTACGCGTGTTAATACTTTCTCTAAAGTTCGAAACTTTTGTCATCGTATCCAAGTTATTACTACCAAGTTGTTAAGGTTACACATGACATTGTATAAAATTGCATTGGATAGTTTAGTTGATTGTGCATTTCTTGCTTGCTTACTTGATTGCCATTTATCGTATCAAGCAGTTCACTTGTATTTGGATCTGAATAATTTTGATTTTCAAAGGATACTGTGGTGAGATTTCACTTCGTCGAACTGTGTAAATTGCGAATTTAATTTGACTGACCTATTACCAGTTCACCCAAATACCTAACCAGCATTCGAGTGGTTTGAACTGATTCACCTATCTAAGCTGAATCAAACCGGGTTCATTGTTGACGAGATCGGCTCGAAATCACCAAACATCCTGTGTTTAGATTACTTCTATCTGGCTAGCAAACACTATTGTTTTATGTTAGCGGTATCCAACTACTCATCTCAACGAATGAGTAGTATATAGCGTCATGCATTTACAATTCAGTCGACAGTAAATTAAGGTATGAGATCGTGTTTGTTATCTGTTCATGAAGCTATATTTACCTTTATGTATATATTGTAGTAGATAAATAAACCTCTTTCTATGGATACACATTTTTTAAATCAATGTTTTTATTGTATATCACTTCTACACGCCTTACTTTAGAGAATAAGTTTTATTTGCTTTTTACAGCTGAGTGTAACCGTTGGTATATTTAAACAAAAATTACTTGCTACCTGTGGATAACATGATCAGGATTTCAAATTAATTATCTATCTTTATCGTCTTTGTGGTGCGTTGGTGATTCAGCGGTAAAATGCTCACCAACCATCCATGCGGTCCGGAGTTCGATCCCCGGCCGACGCATTCCTAAACCTTACTAAGCCGGTAGTATGGCCTGTAGAGAGGGAAGGTTGGGTGTGAGGCTAGCAGTCTCACTCCGCAAAATGAAACCATTGTCACGGAAACTTCAAAGCTATAGCTTTAAGCCCTGTGTTCCACTAGGAACGTAAAGGATTAAAAAAGTGTGTTCTTTGTGATATAATTATGCCATTTGAATTCAGACGAAGCCTTATGCCTAATCTTCCCTCTTCACGGAGCTTACTACTAGATGAGTGAGGCTTAGGAGTTCGTCGATCGGGCATCGAGCCTGACCACGTGTGTGGCTGACGAGCATTCGACCACTGAACCACCGGCACACCACTGACATAGTTAAGTGATGCAGTGGACAGGTAGTGTTTTACAGTGTTCGAGTTTTATTCTTACATTTCCTCTTGTTCTCTATGAGTATTTTTAAAATATTGTTTACGCAATTTTATTTTATTATCTCTTCTTATTTTTAAATAATTTGAGATCTTCAAGAGTTAATTTGTAAGGATTAGATTTGTTTTTCGAGTTTCACCACGGATTGATATCAGTTAGAGAACCATTGAAAACCAACAGGGAGTACTGGACAGCTGTTTCATCCTGTTTTGGGAATCATTGGCAGTACGCACCCACTGGGGTTCGAACCCTAGACCTTCCGGTTACAAGGCAACCTCGTATACCATTCAGCCACTGGGACCCGATTCAATGTCCAGCCCATGAATTCTAACTTCTACCAATTCGTGATTTTTAGCGCGACCACCAACCAATGTCGTCGGTGGGAAATCCATCCTCATTCCCGACTGGATGGACGTCACTGGTCACGATTTCTCACTAGAACTCCAGGAAGCTCCGTTCTGTAGCAAGTCACTAGCGAGCATCAGATTAATTTTCAAGAGTTGATTTGTAAGGATTAGATTTGTTCTTCGAGTTTGGACACGGAAGTTCCTGGGTTCCAACCCCAGTGGGTGCGTACTGCCGATGATTTCCAAACCAGGATGAAACAACTGTCCAGTACTCCCTGTTGGTTTTCAATGGTTCTCTAACTTATATCAATCCTTGGTCAAACTTGAATTCAAGATTTGTTTGTACATATTTTTATTATTTGTCTTTCATATGGTTAGTGGGATTTCTTATCGTGTATGTATCCCTTCTAAAACTTTCCTTTTGTCTGTCCCACCTTGTAGAAAATGACAATATTTGGTCAAAGAATACGTTACATAACTATGCCAAAGGTAGATAATCTTCCTGAAGTAATTACTAAATGGGAGGCTAAAACTAGCAATAATGATGGAATACTTACGTCTAGACCGCGAAAAGTTTTAAAAGAAAACCAATGCACACAGAATGATGAAAGTGAAGTATGCCATTCAAGTGTCAATCAGACAGCTAAAAAACTTTCATCTGTTGTTCAAAGCATTTATAGTCAATCGGAAAATGTTGCTGAGGATAGTGAGAATAATGCATATCTAGATGAAGAAGATTTAAGAAATTTTGCATCTATCGGTGCAGAACCAAGTGGTGATAAGAAAATCGATTTAATCATGGCTCAGACATTGAAAGTAATTTATGGCGATCTATAAATCATAATACTACTACTAATAGTAATAATAATCAGTGACACTATCAAGGAAGCGTGAATGTTGCAAAAGATACAAGAATATTTTTGATATACATTACTACTTCATTTACTATCATTTTTAAACGATTCACCAGGTAGATGATCTTACTGTCTACTTGTGTGCAGAACTTCCTTTTTATATTTTGTGTAGCATAATTTCACATTTTTGAAGAGTTGCAAAGTCATCGACGCATTTTTCTATCATTTTATCCTCACTTTCTTTAAAATTATTATATTGCATTTATCGATAATCCAGAGAAATATATATATTTTACTCTTAAATGTTCTTTTCTCTTATTTGATGACTGGAAAACCCCCTTATCTACTTGTTTCAATAATAATTCGCTTCGTGAAACTATTGAATCAAAATGTAATTCATCCTGCGTAACGAAGAGTTAGATAAAAACGAAGTGAATGATGCTGAGATCCGCCTTCTTAAATTTCAACTTGTCCTACTTCATTTCACAACACTAAGTTGAGAGTCAGTTAAGGGAGAAACTGAAAATGAAAGAGAAGTTATAAGGCCAAACGATAAGGAGGTGAACGTTGAAGATATAGCCAATGGATGAGTTGTATCAATTTAACCCTCCAATCGTCTATTCCCAACATCTCATGAAAGCTTACATTCTCACTCATTAGGTGATACTGACTAGTGTTTTTTGAAGGTAATGAAAAGCATATTTAGTGAATTATTTGTGTATACCTCACTTTAAGAAGACATGTGTACGTGCTACCTTAATCGATTGCTATGATTTTTCTGTTCAGCAATATGGTAGTGCACCTTTCATGGTATCATAATAAACTTGGGGAGAAAGTCAAAGTATCATAGCCAAAGTCAAGGTCTTTCAGAATGATCAATCAAATACAGAGAATGCTATGAAATGTCATACCAAATCAAGTCATGCCTGCCTTTTTGGACTTGGAGAGGGTAGATACAGTATTCTACTTATTTACAAGGTACATTTTCTGCAAATTTATACCATTGGGTAGGATTTTCAAGATTACGATTTAGGGTCTAGGGCCAAGGTTAGGCTTAGAGTCAAAGTTAGGATTATGGTTAGAGTTAGGAGTAGGTTGAAAAATAGTGTCAGAAGTATCAAGGGATCTCAAAGTATCATGACCTACAGTCACCTGGATCAATGGATATATTGCGCATGGTACGATTTCTCTATAAATCATCTGTGTAGTGACTGAAAGACATTCTTACAACACATAATCTACAACTATCCAGTGTAATATCATGTTCGCAATATTTCTTAGTATATTTTTCTACGATTATGCAACTTTTTTGCATCTGAATTCTGATTGGTTGTTGAAGATCACTGTGGTTTTGGCTGTGATAGTTTTGTTGTGAGAGTTGGCTGCTAGCCAAATTGGTAGACAGTAATTTACGTCAATGTTTACGTCCTCAATATTGGTCGTGAGAAAAATATGAACAAAGACTGACTCAACAACCAATCACAGCAGACTTTGCGTAGGCGGATACAGTTAACATATAGATGATCTGACATTCAAGAAACAGCCACAAAGAGATGAAAGATTAACTTTCAGTGAGAAACCATCAATCAGAAGACTGTGTTTGTTTGCTTAACTAAACTATAATAATGTACATGAAAAGCTATAAATATGTGTTGATTTCCTCAATAAACGATCTGTTATCTGGCCCTTGTCTTCTGTTGGTACAGTTTAACTTTGTCAACTTTGGGATGAAATAAATAAATAAAACCCAGTTAACTAGATAACAGGTACGCTTCTGATCAGGCTCTTGCGATATTTCTGCAATTCCTTCATATTGGTGATAGGCAAATCCACAGGGTTTGTAGTTCAGTTCCTATATATATAACAGGCCCTAGATAAGTGAAGGAAGTAACCCCGGTTAAATCTCTCCCGTTGGTGGTGATTGATGCTGTTCGCTGTTGTTTTTTGTATCCGTTGGTTATCTTCATTACTTCCGTCTCCCCTATGTCCACTTGGAATCCTGTCTTCGCTGCTTCGTCAGCCAGTTTGTTGGTTCTCGCCTGTAATTCTTCGAGTTTGTGTGATATTAGACAAATACCATCCACGCACGAAATCTAGATCTCCTAGAGTTATTTTATCGGTCAGAGCAGCGTATTTCTGGCTCCTCGCTGCACACGGTCTGACACATGATCCAGTCCACCACAATTAACAGTATCATCGGTGATAATAGGCAACCAGCCTTGTCTTACTCCTGTATTCATTTCGAACGCCTCGCTGAGTTTCCTGCTATGGTCGGTGGGGTGGAGTTCTGTATCCAGTGCATCATTCATTCTCTCCAGGATGAGACAACATCGTATTTTAGTTGGCGTAGACAAGGGAATTATTCCATGCCAGTTCTTGCAGAGGTCAAAGCCGCCTTTCTTTGGTGGCTTGACAAGGTAGCTAGCCTTTCTTCAAGTCGGTAGGTACTTTCCCTTATTTCCAAACCTTTTGCAATAATGGCGTGAGCACATCTGTTGCAGTCTCTGGGTCCGTTTTCATTGCTTCGGAATGAAGGAATTCCGTTTGGTCCTGCTGCCTTTCCGAGGTTACAACCTAGTGTAAACCAATTTGATTTATGTGTGGTCGCCTCTTTTTTTTATTACAGCTTGATGCCGCACCGTATTTTCAGTACAAGTATGGAATCTTCAGCATGGATATCGGCAGTCCAAATTTTGCAGGCTGACCATAGATGTCGGGTGTGCATTGGCAGGGGATCGAACCCCGGACCATGTGCATGGTCGGCGAGAGTCCTAACCACTGTGCCACCGACACACAGGTAAAGGTTTCTGGTCTTTGGTAAACTTCTGCTTAGTTCTTCCCGCCACTTTACTCCAAAAGGAGTGGTGCTGAAATAAATTATATATTGTTTGTAGTATGCGGTGTGTTAAAACTTTGTTGCTACTGTGAATGCAGTTGATCCTTTCACCAATTAGTCCCTCGGCGTCACTGCCAACAGAAAAGAGATAATAATAATAACAGATATAATTAGTGTAAGTTATTCAGACTAAAGACAGAAAAAGAAAGAAATAAAACGTAAAAACAAACGGCTGAGTAATTTCGAAGTCGATATATATATCATATAAATATGTATATATATACGTTTGTGTATATAGTATCAGTAATAGTAGTAATAAGTGTAAGTGTAGTAGTTAGAGTAGTCAGGAGAGTAGGACAAATGAGAATGTAAAGAAGTAAAACGACGAATTTAATTGTCTACCCATGAGTGCTGCATGGGATTTTAAGGAGATAGGCCATTCGGATGCAGTCCTGATGTAGCTGCATTATTGTCCAGCGTTCGCTTAAATGTGTTCACAGACGGTGCCATAGTACATCCGCCGCTAAAGAGTTACAGGGACGGCAAACTTGGGGTGAAAATAAATGGGAGCGCACCCAAGTGTTTGCTCTCCGGTGAGCTATCCTTCTGGGATTTCCACGAGGAAGTCTATACCTACCCAATCGCAGGACACCTTTGTTTGGGTGATTCTGGCCATTTGTTATCTTGTAGGCAACAATCAAGTCCCTCTAAGCCGGTGGTAGCTAAGTGGGAAGAGACCTAATTTCTTTAGACGTTATTCATATGGTTTATTTCGGAGACTCATCACACCTCTTGTCGCCAGTCCTTGGACTCTTTCTAGAAGGTTTGCGTCTCTTCTAAACAGTAGGGGTGCGATGATGTTGTGTACTTCAAGATGTGGTCTGACGTGTGTTTTGTACAACCTTAGAAAGAGATCAGGAGTGAGTGCACCTAACTGTCTATGTGTAAAGTGTATGACCGCATATGCCCTCGCTACGTCCCCCGTGTAATTTACGCTTGTGTCCATTTTTTCCGTTAGAACTAGACCTAAGTCGCGCTCCGATGTTGTGTAGGACAAGCTTTCGTTGCACAGGGTGTAACTTGCATTCCGCAGCCTACAGGTGTGTAGTTTTACAACTTTGCACTTTTTCAGGTTGAAAGTCATATCATTGGCCACCGCCCAGTCTTCCAGAAGCTTTAGGTCTACCTGCCGCCTATTTGAGTCTTCCGAGCACTTTATTGTTCTCGAAATCTTTGTCCTTAGCGGAAAGAAGAGTCAGGCAGTTTAGATAGCATGGTAGGTCACTGATAAAAATCGAAAAAATCAGTGGTCCCAGGATAGAACCTTTCTACGCTAATGATGACGAGGCGTGCCAAGATGATCGAACTCGATTGACCTTAGTGAGAAATTTCCTTTCAGCTAGGTAGTATTTCAGTCATGACAGATGCGGCCCGCCTATATCTGCCTGACTTATTTTGTGTAGGAGGTCTTGGTGAACTGTCTTAAATGTCTTCTCAAAGTCTAGGAAAACCACATGGACTAGAACATTCAGTTTTCAGTATGATGTATAATCGTCCCAAGCTGATAGTAGGTTTGTTACGCAGCATCTGCCTCTCCCGAAACCATGTCGTGCTTCATGGAGTCTTTTAGTACTGTTTAGGTGCTTCCTGAGGTGATCATCAAAAGCACTTTCCAGCGCTTTTGATACCACTGGGAATAGCGCTACTGGTCTACAATTGGTGGCATTCCGCTTGTCCCCACCCTTGGAAATCGGAGAAAGGATGGCTCTTTTCCACTCCCTTGGCAGTTTCCCCGAATCCATCGAGTGTTGGGACAAGTCGCATAAGGGCCTACACAGGTCTTCGGCGCACTGTTTCAGAGCGGATGGCCTGATGTCGTCACAACCTGGGGACTTTTCAGGCGTGGGTCTCTGTAGGTTCCCTAGTACTATTGCCGGGTTTATTTGGAGAGTAGCCACTAGGTCTTCCTCCTGTGAAATAGTAGTGCCTCCATTTTGGTCCGTACCAGTATTACCCACATTGCTGTTTAAATGTTTAGTGAAGGCTAAACTGAATGTTTCAGCCATCTCCAGACTATTGAGGTACTGATTGTTTGAACCTACTAAAGCGCATGCTGTCTCGTTGGTGGGTTTTCTCTCCGACATGAATCGTTGCAGGTTTTGGGGGTTCTCCAGTTTTTACAAGGTTAGCCTGGAATGACCCCCTGTCACTCCTGACTCTCACGTTGCACCGGTTCCTCAGGTCCAGAAATGCGTCTTGATCGGTCTGACTCTTGGATACTCGTCAGTTAGACCAAGGCTTCCGCTTTGCTTGCAGAATACTTTGCTTAACTCATTTCACCCATGAGTACCTGTTTTTTGGCTGTATTGTGACTAAAGGGATGTTGTCCTATATTGCTGTGCGAATAGTCTCTTTTACCACTTCCCACTGTCCATTCACGGATAACTCAGCCAATTCTATGGGCCATTCTGAAAAAGCCTCCACATTTCAGCATAGTCCGCCTTGTTATAGCACAGACATGGTCGCTTAGCGTCCCGCTGTAGGCACTCACGGAGAACAAGATCGAATCCTATGACTGCTTGGTCACTACTTCCTATGGGAGTGAT